ATCAATCAATAAAGCATGCTCTCTGCCCCATGTTAGGCAGCCTCCTCAGGATATGCCACTCAAATATATACTGTATTTCCTTTCTCTTCCTCCTCAAACCAGTGTAATCATCATTAAAAATAAAAAATAAAAATTAAAAAAAAAGCTGGGTACAGTGGCTCACGCCTGTAATCTCAGCACTTTGGGAGGCTGATGCGAGTGGATCACTTGAGGTCAGGAGTTTGAGACCAACCTGACCAACATGGTGAAACCCGTCTCTGCTAAAAATACAAAAATCAGCCACGCGTGGTGGCACGCATCTGTAATCCCAGCTACTTGGGAGGCTGAGGTAGGAGAATTGCTGGAAACTGGGAGGTGGAGGTTGTGGTGAGCCGAGATCGTGCCATTGCACTCCAGCCTGGGCAACAGAGCGAGACTCCGTCTCAAAAAAACCAAACAGGTATTTCCTTGACCTTCTACTACCTGTCCCCAAACCACAGTCTGTGCTACTCTTTGAATTCACTACATGGCCCCTACATATGATGTGGTCCCCCAATATCACTGTGAATCTTCTGCTATCTTGTCACTCTCCTCCAGCCACAGTAGTGTCCTTGGAAGTTCCCACAACACACCAGCTGTGTTCCCATCTTAGGGCTTTGCACTTTACTTTGCCTGGAATGCTCTTTCCCCAGTGAACAGCTCACCCCTTCATCCTTTTTAGATCTCTACGTAAAAGTCACTTTCTCAGAGAGGACTTCTCTGACCACTCCTTTTTTTTTTTTTTTTTTTTTGAGGTGGAGTTTTGCCCTTGTTGCCCAGGCTGGAGTGAATGGTATGAACTCAGCTCACCGCAACCTCTGCCTCCAGGGTTCAAGTGATTCTCCTGCCTCAGCTTCCGGAGTAGCTGGGGTTACAGGCATGGACCACCATGCCCAGCTAATTTTGTATTTTTTAGTAGAGACGGGGTTTCTCCATGTTGGTCAGACTGGTCTCGAACTCCTGACCTCTGGTGATCCGCCTGCCTTAGCCTCCCAAAGTGCTGGGATTACAGGCGTGAGCCACCACACTTGGTCTGACCACTCCTTTTAGAAGGAGAAACTTCCCAACTCCACTAGCATTCCCTATCCTCCTTCTTGCTTTTTCTTTGTACTTCTCATATTTAACATACTATGTTGCTTATTTATTTGTTCACTGGCTGCCCTCATTAGATGCTCCTAATTTGTTGAATAGAAAGATTTTTGTCTGTTTGGTTTACTGCTGTCTCCCAGTACCTACAACAGTGTCCAGTACATAGGTGGTATTCTGTAAGTGTGTGCTGAGTAAACAAAGAGATTGGTGAGGAGGCTATTCCAGTAGAGACACAGCCAGGAACTGTGTGTGAAGAAACATGTGTGACACAGTGAGTGTAAATTTTTTTTGTTTTTTTTTTGAGACAGATTCTCACCCTGTCGCCAGGCTGGAGTGCAATGGCACAATCTCAACTCACTGCAACCTCCGTCTCCTGGGTTCACGCGATTCTCTTGTCTCAGCCTCCCGAGTAGCTGGGACTACAGGCACCCACCACCACACTCGGCTAATTTTTTGTATTTTAGTAGAGATGGTGTTTCACCATGTTGGCCAGGATGGTCTCCGTCTCCTGACCTCATGATCTGCCCACACCAACCTCCCAAAGTGCTGGGATTACAGGTGTGAGCCACTGCGCCTGGCCGTGAGTATGGACTTTATCTTGTCAGTGATAGCAGTGGACTTGATCTGGGGAATGAAACAATCAAATGAAATAGTGTTGAGACAGCCGGGCGCAGTGGCCGGGCGCAGTGGCTCAAGCCTGTAATCCCAGCACTTTGGGAAGTCAAGGCAGGTGGATCACCTGAGATCTGGAGTTTGAGATCAGCATGACCAACATGGAGAAACGCAGTCTCTACAAAAATACAGAATTATCCAGGCATGGTGGCGCATGCCTGTAATCCCAGCTACTCAGGAGGCTGAGGCAGGAGAATTGCTTGAACCCGAGAGGCGGAGGTTGTGGTGAGCCAAGACTGCACCATTGCACTCCAGCCTGGACAACAAGAGCAAAACTCCATCTCAAAAAAAAAAAAACAAAGAAAGAAGAAAAGAAAAAGAAAAAGAGATACTGCTGAGGGAAGATGAGGCTATGGATGTAATGTTTAGTTCAGGCCAGATAAAAGGAGTCTTGATCTAAAGGAGTGGCTGCGAGACCAGGAACAGAAATGAGGGGCTTCTGTCAAGAGACATTTCAGAAGTAGATTTTAGTGGCTGGCACGATGGCTCACACCTGTGATCCCAGCACTCTGGGAGGCCGAGACAGGTGGATCACAAGGTCAGAAACTCTTAGAGTATGCTAGCCATTAAAACATCATTTTGGCCGGGCGTGGTGGCTCACGCCTGTAATCCCAACACTTTGGGAGGCCAAGGTGGATGGATCACCTGAGGTCAGGAGTTCGAGACCAGCCTGGCCAATATGGTGAAACCCCTCTCTACTAAAAATACAAAAATTAGCTGGGCGTGGTGGGAGGCATCTGTCATCTCAGCTACTCAGTAGGCTGAGGCAGGAGAATTGCCTGAATCCGGGAGGTGGAGGTTGCAGTGAGTGGAGATGGCGCCACTGCACTCCAGTCTCGGCGACAGAGTGAGACTCTGTCTCAAAAAAAAAAAAAGGCCGGGCGTGGTGGCTCACGCCTGTAATCCCAGCACTTTGGGAGGCCGAGGAGGGTGGATCACGAGGTCAGGAGATCGAGACCATCCTGGCTAACACGGTGAAACCCCATCTCTACTAAAAATACAAAAAATTAGCCGGGCGTGGTGGCAGGCGCCTGTAGTCCCAGCTACTCGGGAGGCTGAGGCAGGAGAATGGCGTGAACCCGAGAGGTGGAGCTTGCAGTGAGCCAAGATCGCGCCACTGCACTCCAGTTTGGGAGACACAGGGAGACTCCGTCTCAAAAAACAAACAAACAAACAAACAAAAAAACTAGATTTTAGTGACTAACTAAATATGTGAGGTAAAGGAAAGGGATATAAAATGATTATCAGATTTCTAGATTAAACAACTAGATGAAAGTTTGTGTTATTAACCAAAATTGGAATTAGAAGAAAAGCAACCAATTTGCAAACATGATAAATTAAGTTAACAAAAGTTAATTAAACTAACTTTTGGGCTTGAGTTTGAGATTCTAGGGAGTATAGTGCATCAAGGTTTCCAAATCTGATCCTGTCCCTCCTTCAGAAACCCTGCTGTCCACCAGGCATGGTGGCTCACGCCTGTAATCCCAGCACTTTGGGAGGCCAAGGTGGGCGGATCACGAGGTCAAGAGATCGAGACTATGCTGGCCAACATAGTGAAACCCGGTCTCTACTAAAAATACAAAAATTAGCTGGGAGTGGTGGCATGTGCCTGTAGTCCCAGCTACTCAGGAGGTTGAGGCAGAAGAATTGCTTGAACCAGGGAGATGGAGGTTGCAGTGAGCCAAGGTCACACCACTGCACTCCAGCCTGGGTGACAGAGTGAGACTCCATCTCAAAAAAACCAAAAAACAAAAAAACCCTGTTGCCTACTGAGAACATCCAAATCCCTGTGCTAAGTCAAAGCCTTTCAAACCATCTGCTGCCTTCTCTCCCGCCCCATCTTTTACTGTTCCAACCAAATTCTCCACTGTGGTCTCACTTTAGTAAAGTTCTCTCAACTTTTCCTTGTTTTACTGTCTTTGCTCACACCGTCCCCTCCATCTATAAAAAAATATTTTTTCTTTTTTTTGAGATAGTCTCCCTCTGTTGCCCAGGCTGGAGTGCAGTGGTGTGATCTCAGCTCACTGCAACCTCTGCCTCCCAGGTTCAAGTGATCCTCCTGCCTCAGCCACCCGAGTGGCTGGGATTACAGGTGCACACCACCACGCCCAGCTAGTTTTTTGTATTTTTGGTAGAGATGGGGTTTCACCAGGTTGGCCGGGATGGTCTCGAACCACGGACCTCAAGTGATCCGCCCGCCTAAGCCTCCCAAAGTGCTGGGATTACAGGTGTGAGTCACTCGGCCTGGCTTTTTAAAAATTTTTTTAGACAGAGTCTCACTGTTCCCCAGGCTGGAGTGCAGTGGCATGATCATGGGTCACTGCAACCTCGACCTCTCGCGCTCCAGATATCCCCCACCCACCATGCGGCTAAATTTTTTAAAAACATTTTTGTAGAGATGGGGTCTCACTATGTTGCCCAGGCTGGTCTCGAACTCGTGGGTTCAAGCAATCCTCCCGTCTCAGTCTCCCAAAGTGTTGAGATTACAGGCACAAGCCACCGCGCCCGGCCTCCATAACATCTTTCCCCAAGGAACTCGTACCCACTCCCTAATCCTCACCTCAGAGACCCTTGTCTGCTCAATTCTATCCACTTGGAGCATCTGTTACAGCAGGATCATCCTCCTGGTCCCCTGCCCCTCACTTGCCTACGATCCTCAAGGGCATGGCCGGAGACTACAACTCCCCAAAGCCTCCAGGGCCCCGTCTGGCGCTCACCCGTCGCCGGTTTCTGCACAGCTGATTTAAAAGAGGCGTGACCAAAATAAGCAGGACTGGGGGAAACTGGGGGTCGCTTTTACCTCTTCGCCGTAATCCTCTGGACCGAATTCCTTGCAAAGTTTGGGTACAGCAGCGACCTCCAGTGGGCAGCTGGGCCGCAGAGGGCAGTCTACAGGAAAGGAAGGAGGAGCCTCGTCAGCGGGCTTGGGATAGATGGGCTTGAGTCCTCCCTACTCCACCTTCGACTCTCCGCCCTCTGCCCTCTGCATAAAATCCTACTCGAAATGTTCAGACCACAGGTGGACCCAAGAGGGGCTGCCTCTGCCCTCCTAGACCCTCTCTGGTCTTGTCATACTGCTCACCTAGCTTGATCCTCTCCACAGCCTTCGGAATCGGCGCCATCGCGTCTACAGTGACCCGGAAGTGAAAGGTAGTCTTGTATTTGATACCAGCCAAAGGGTGGGGTGGGACAGAGAAGGCGGCCATTTTTGTTAGGGGCAGAAGCCTCCCATTACGGAGTACGAGAGGGTCCATGAAGGTCCCCGCGACTCCTGGACTGGATAAAACGGCTCTTGGAATGGGGCGAAGTCCGAGCTAAGGTGGGCGTTGGTCCGTGCGGGGAAGTGGGAATCGCTAGGTTCGTTCCGGACCCGCCGCCCCATGGCTCAGGCGTCTCGCTCTGGTAGCCTGCCTCCACTTGTTATCGTGCCCCCGCTGAGGGCGCAACCCGGGGGCACTGGGGAGGAGCAGTGGGAGAGAAGGCAAACGGGCGCTCTTCGCGGGGAGGTTCACGGTTGGCCGGGCGGAACTTCTGGAGGGACGCCGTGGTGGCCGACGCCGGCGGGTGTGAGCGATGACTATGAGGCTGATGCTGCGGCCTGGAGGCGAGGGCCCGCAGGTGGCGGCCCGATCCCTCCCGCGCTGCAGCGTCTCCGGGCCGTGTTGCTGCGGCTGCATCGCGAGCGGGAGCAGCTCCTCCAGGCCCGACACTGCGCCTGCCACCTACAGGCTGCTGTGCGCCTCATGAAGACCCTGAGTCCTGGCTCGCCATCCGGCGGCCCTAGCCCCTTGCCCCAGTGGTGCCGCGACCTGCAGCTGCACCCTTCCCAAGGGGCAGTCCTGCGAATCGGCCTTGGGGAGACTCTCGAGCCGTTGCTGCTAGCGCGCCCCATCGGACTGGCCGCCCAGTGCCTGGAGGCTGTCATTGAGACGCAGCTTCGCGCTCTCGGCCGGGAGCCTGCCAGCCCAGGCCTGTCATCCCAACTTGCCGAACTTCTCCTGGCACTTCCCGCCTATCACACGCTACAGGGAAAAACCTTGAGCCACGTCCCGGGGGCTGCACGTCCTTTCCCCACGTCCCGTGTGCTCCATCTCTTGACGGGGGAGCGGGGTTGCCAGGTGGCAAGTCGGCTGGACGAGGCGCTCCGGGGATCGGGATTGAGAGACCAGCTCCGCAGGCGGTGCCATGAGGAGCGGGATCTGCTACCAGGGCTGCTGGGCCTGGTAGGGGGCGTGGCGGGTTCAGCCAGCTGTGGACTACGGCTTGGAGGGGCTGGAGCCTTGTGGAGCCAATATTGGACCCTGCTGTGGGCAGCCTGTGCTCAGAGTCTGGACCTAAATCTGGGACCCTGGAGGGACCTCAGGGCAACAGCGCAACAGCTGAGTCAGGCACTGGGTCAGGGTGAGTGATGGGCTTGGGTGGGCGTTTGGGAAGGCTGGGGTCTCTTCCTTCCCCCTGGCAAACTCACTCACCTTCCATCCTGAAGGCAAAGGCAGGCCCTTTAGAATGAACATCCCTGGGTTCAGACTATATCTTCTGAACTTTCAAGGCAAAGTCTTGCTTTCCACCCCAGTCCTGAGTCTTGGAGGAAGCATGCCTTCTTCCCTCATCATTGAGTGGGCAGGGGTTGTGGAAAGTGAGACCTTGTTTTCAGGCTCCAGAGTCATTTCTCCCACTAGCATCCCTGCCTCAGGAGTGTGAGAAGGAGCTGGCTTCTTTGTGTCACAGCTTACTTCATCAGTCGCTTATCTGGAACTGGGACCAAGGTGAGAAGGAAGGGGCCCTGGGGGTGACATAAATCCCAGGTTACCGCTTTCCCACCACACTATGGTCTCTCACTCTCAGGTTTCTGCCAGGCCTTGGGATCAGCTCTTGGGGGTCAGAGCAGCCTTCCCACATCCTCTCGCACTGCTGAACTTTTGCAGCAGCTCTTTCCTCCTCTCTTGGATGCCCTTCGAGAGCCCAGGTTACGACTGATTTTCTGCCAGCCTGCAGGTGAGACAAGGGGCTGGGTCTGGGGAGACAAAGCAGTTGAGGATATCTCTTTTCTTTGTTCTGAAGTCTGCCTCTTCCCAAAGGTACTCCATGACCCCTAAGATACTCACTCTACTACTCAAATCCCCAGATCCTGCGCCTGTTGCCCTAGGTCTCTGTACCCTGCAGACCACCTTGCTTTGGTTCCTGGGCAGAGCTCAGCAGTACTTGGCAGCATGGGACCCAGCTTCCTTCCTGCTCCTGATCCAAAAGGACTTACCTGTGAGTGGCTGGGGAGTAGGGAGGGGAGCAGCCTGAGCTAGGCTGAGCCCTCACTTCCTGTTTCCGCCCAAAGCCTCTATTGCATGAGGCAGAAGCTTTGTCTAGCCTGGCCTCAGAGGAAAGTTTAGCTCTGGAAGTGGAGCAGCAGCTGGGCCTGGAGATCCAGAAGCTGACTGCACAGATCCAGGTGAGAACAGGGGCCTTAACAGTGGCAGTTTAAGACCCTGTGTTCTGTGCCAAGTATCAGGGGTGGGAAGAGTAGAGCATCTCAGTAACTTGGAATCTCCTTGGAGTCTCTGCTAAATTTATCTTTTTTTGCTCTGTTCATTTTTTATTTTTTGTTCTCTTTAACTTTTTTTTTTTTTCTCTCTGAGACAGGGTCTCACTTTGTCACCCAGGCTGGAGTGCAGTGGCACAATCTCAGCTCGCTGCAGCCTCTACCTTCTGGGCTCAAACGGTCCTCCCACCTCAGCCTCCCTAGTAGCTGAGACTACAGGCTTGTGCCACCACACCTGGCTAACTTTTGTATTTTTTTTTGTAGAGATAGGGTTTCACTATGTTGCCCAATCTGGTCTTGGACCCCTGAGCTCAAGTGATCCACCTACCTTGGTCTCCCAAAGCGCTGGGATTACAGGCATGTGCCACCATGCCTGGCCCGTTTAACATTTTACTATGGCAAATTTCAAACATGTACAAATGTAGAGAGAGGTATATAATGGACTCCCATATGTCTATCACCAAGCATTTAACAATTATCAACTCATGGTCAATTTCATCTGTGTACCCCCTATCCTCTCCCCAGTAATGCCAGACTCTCGTTTTGTGATGGCACCAGCGGATCATTGCCTCGATTCATTATTTCATTAGAAGTTGTAAAGGGGTAACATTTCAATTCTCATCATTCCTACTTCATTTATGAGTTGGATTACTCCTATGAAGAAAAACTTGCCTTCATTAATGATTTGGTTACTCTTAGGTATATTTTAAAGAGAAAATTCAGGATACATGATTGCATCTTTCCCTTTACTTACCAGTTATCAGCACATTTCCCCTCTCTTAAAAGTTTAATTTGTATTTTTATAAATGCTTTGGGAGGCCAAGGCAAGAGGATTGCTTGAGGCCAGGAGTTTGAGACCACCAGGGGCAACATAGCGAGACCACCCTAAGCAACACAGACCCCCGTCTCTACAAAAATTAAAAAATTTAGCTGAGCATGGTGGCATGCGCCTGTAGTCCCAGCTACTTGGGAGGCTGAGGCAAGAGGATCGTTTGAGCCCAGGAGGCCAAGGCTGCAGTAAGCTGTGATAGCCACTGCATTCCAGCCAGCCTAGGCAATACAGTGAGAGATCCTGTCTCAAAAAATAAAATAATGCATGTCTATAGTTTAAAAAGTGAAATAGAATATTATTTTATAAAACTAATGAAAAAATAGCACTTTGTTTGCCCTCACCCACCTCTGATTTCTGTTTCACAGTAGTAACCTTCATCCATGTTTGCCTGTTTCTCCTAACATTTTCTTATATATTTATGAATAAAGCCATTATACTTTCTCTTCCCCATTTTGTACATTTATCTGTTCCTATGTCGAAGATGTCTGGTTTTTGTTTCCCTGCTCAGTTTTCTCCTCTTTGCCCTGAATAGGGGCATGGCTGTAGGGTTCAGTCCTTAACTCTCTGCTTTTCTCTCTGTAGTCCTGCTTACCCACAATGTCTTGGGTCCCAGAGTTCTTTTTTTTTTTTTTTTTTTTTTCCTAAGACAGGGTCTCACTGTTACCCAGGCTGAAGTGCAGTTATGTGATCTTGGCTCACTGCAACCTCCACCTCCTGGGCTCAAGCAATCCTCCCACCTCAGCCTCCTGAGTAGCTGGGACCACAGATGCAAGCCACAATGCCTAGCTACATTTTTTTTTTTTTTGAGAAGGAGTCTCACTCTGTCACCCAGGCTGGAGTGCAGTGGCATGATCACCACTCACTGCAGTCTTCACCTCTTGGGTTCAAGTGATTCTCCTGCCTCAGCCTCCTGAGTGGCTGGGATTACAGGCGCCCGCCACCACGCCCGGCTAATTTTTGTATTTTTAGCAGAGATGGGTTTCACCATGTTGGCCAAGCTGGTCTCGAACCCCTGGCCTCAGGTGATCCATCCACCTCAGCCTCCCAAAGTGCTGGGATTATAGGTGTGAGCCACCCTGCCTGGCCAATGCCCAGCTACTTAAATTTTTTTTTTTTTTTTTTTTTTTTTTTTTGTAGAGACAAGGTTTTGCTGTGTTGCCCAGGCTGGTCTTGAACTCTTTTTAAAAATATTTTTTAAAAACTTTTTTGGGAGGCCGAGGTGGGTGGATCGCCTGAGGTCAGGAGTTTAAGACCAGCCTGACCAACATGGTGAAACCTCGTCTCTACTAAAAATACAAAAAAGTACTGGTATGGTGGTGGGGGCCTGTAATCCCAGCTGCTCGGGAGGTTGAGGCAGGAGAATCACCTGAACCCAGGAGGCAGAGGTTGCAGTGAGCTGAGATAGCGCCATTGCACTCCAGCCTGGGCAACAAGAACAAAAACTCTGTCTCAAAAAAAACAAAAAACGAAACTTTTTTGGCCAGGTGCAGTGGCTCACACCTGTAATCCCAGCACTTTGGGAAGCCGAAGCAGGCAGATCATCTGAGGTTAGGAGATCAAGACTGGCCTGGCCAACATGGTGAAACCTGTCTCTTCTAAAAATACAAAAATTAGCTGGACATTGTGGTACACGCCTGTAACCCCAGCTACTTCGGAGGCTGAGGCAGGAGAATCACTTGAATCTGGGAGGTGGAGGTTGCAGTGAGCTGAGAGCATGCCATTGCACTCCAGCCTGGGCAACAGAGTGTGTGTGTGTATATATATATATATTTGTTTTAATTAAAAGTTTGGGCCGGGCATAGTGGCTCAAGCCTGTAATCCCAGCACTTTGGGAGACCGAGACGGGCGGATCACGAGGTCAGGAGATCGAGAGCATCCTGGCTAACACGGTGAAACCCCATCTGTACTAAACAAAATACAAAAAACTAGCCAGGCGAGGTAGCGGGCGCCTGTAGTCCCAGCTACTCGGGAGACTGAGGCAGGAGAATGGCATAAACCCAGGAGGCGGAGCTTGCAGTGAGCCCAGATCGCGCCACTGCACTCAGCCTGGGTGACAAAGACTCTGTCTCAAAAAAAAAAGTTTGGCTCGTGACACAGCCTCAGGAGATCCTGAAAACATGTTCTTGAACTCTTGAGCTCAAAGCAATCCACCTCCTTGGCCTCCCAAAGTGCTGGGATTACAGGCATGAGCCACCACGCCCAGCCTGGCTCCCAGAGTTCTAGTCAAACATCTGCATTTGCCTGCTGGGCATTTCTACCTCAATTTACTGCTATCTACTTAAACTCAACATGCCCCAGAGCTGGCTCATCATGAGTACTGCACACAGTGACGGTCATAGAGCCCTGAGGAAGGAAGGCTATAGTGGGCATGTGGTTTACAGAAGGCTCCACACATGGCCTACTGCTGGAGATGGTGGCTGGGAAGCCTCGGAGGAGTGGCTGGGGTTACTGGAAGTGGGCAGTTTGTCGATCCTTGGGGGAGTAGCAGAGAGGTGGCCTTACCAGAGCAGAGGTTCCTTTTGTGGGTATGTTCACCGGGGTTGGGTGTGTGGGTAAAGTAGTAAGCAATTTGGCATCAAATTGTGGAGGGCATGAACACCAGTCCCAGGAATTTGGGCTTTACCTCATGAGTGATGGGGTGACATTGTAAGAGCAGAAGGGTAGTAATCCCAGCATTTTGGGAGGCCAAGATGGGCGGATCATTTGAGATGAGGAGTTTGTGACCAGCCTGGCCAACATGGTGAAACCCCATCTCTACTAAAAATACAAAAATTAGCCGGGCGTGGTGACGGGTGCCTGTAATCCCAGCTGCTCAAGAGGCTGAGGCATGAGAAGCAGTTGAACCTGGGAGGCACAGGTTGCAGCGAGCTGAGATTGCACAACTGCACTCCAGCTTGGGCAACAAGAGTGAAACTCCGTCTCAATAAAAAAAGAGGCATTATGAGTTTTCTCCCTGTTTGGACTGTAAGATCCCAGTGGTTCGGGGAGAGACTGTCACATACTCTGCACCTTATATTCCCTTAGTGTTGAGTACAGAGGCTCCTAACAAAAGTCCATTGACAAAAGGGTAATTTCCTTGACATAAATAAGGAAGGAGAAGGGGGTTTGCATTTACTGGAGAAAAGAGGAAGATTTTGGATTTAGACAGGTTGTCAGATGTGCCAGGAGCCATATGGGCTCCACTCCATGTCTGCCCTCCACCCAGGTCTATCCTGTCTTCAGGCTCCCTGGTATCTACCATTTCTTTACAGAGCAGCTGCCATTAACCACATTTATTGGGGTTCCTCTCCCTCAAGATGGGCTGTAGAGCAGAAACCAGCTTTATTGCTGTGTTCTTTCCCTCCAAAAACAATCTATCAAACCAAAGAAACAAAACCAGCATATAGGCCTTTTCTTGCTATATTGCTCTGGAGTGGGCTGTCAAGAATAATAATATATAATAATAATGCCCTTCAATGTAAGGACATTCCAAAACTTCCTGAGTCTCAGAACGTTCAAATAGTCATTGCTTCTGGTCTACATACAGTTATTGTCTTCCTTTTGTAGGTGATAACCAAAAGATCATTGTAGGCTGGGTGTAGTGGCTAACATCTGTAATCCCAGCACTTTAGGAGGCAGAGGCAGGCAGATCACCTGAGATCAGGAGTTCAAGACCAGCCTGACCAACATGGCAAAACCTTGTCTCTACTAAAAATACAAAAATTAGCTGGGTGTGGTGGTGCACTCCTGTAGTCCTACCTACTTGGGAGCCTGAGGCAGGAGAATCACTTGAACCTGGAAGGCAGAGGTTGCAATGAGCCGAGATCACGCCACTGCACTCCAGTCTGGGCGACAGAGCAAGACTCTATCTCAAAAATAAAAGGTCATTGTAATTCCCCTTTCTTCCCTCAACCTCTGGCCCATTGCAGATCATACAATCCCTCTCTCTGGCATGTACTATGTGTGTGTGTTGTGGGGGTGGGGGCAGGGTATGTCTTTTTCCTTAAAGCTCCTGTATAATAAAATTAACTTCAAGGATTTTCCATGTTTTGAACCAAGCTGGGGAGAGCAAGGTAACCCTAGGACAATTGTTCATAATTTGGGTCCAGACCTCTTGGAAAACCCAATGACAACTATGGCATTGCTCCTCAAAAAATGGCCAGGCATACACAACTCTGCAACAATTCTGGGGTTTTATGGATGTCAAGTTGGACATAGAACTCCTTAGATATACAGGATCATCATAATTTGGCAAGCCCCTTTTACTTTCTCCCTATCCCTACAGCTCCTGCCTGAAGAGTCACTAAGTCTCTTTTCTCAAGAATGTCATAAACAAGCCATGCAAGGTTTCAAGCTCTACATGCCACGGGGTCGGTACTGGCGGCTTCATCTCTGTCCTGGTAACTCCTCATCCCAGCTTCTCCTTCCAGGGTTCCAAGGGGGTAATAGTGTCTCAGCCCTACCAAATCCCGATTCCCCTCCACTGTCTCCATCCTTGTCCTCAGCTTCTGTTCCCTTCCCTCCTGAAATCCTACCCTCTTCTCCCAAACACTCCATTTAGGGGTTCAGTGGATCTCCACAGCCTTATATTCTGTCTTCTCTACTCCAGAACTTCCCAGTGCTCCTAGTGAATATGCTGGTTTAGTGGTCCGTACCGTACTGGAGCCTGTGTTACAAGGATTGCAAGGGTTGCCACCCCAAGCCCAGGCCCCTGCCCTTGGTCAGGCACTGACAGCCATCGTGGGTGCCTGGCTCGACCACATTCTTACCCATGGGATTCGGTTCAGGTCAGGAGTAAAGGCGGAAGTGGCAGGGGGTGAATGGAACAGGGAAAAGGAAGGGGATAAGTGGGAGAGGCAGGAGGGTCAAGTGGCCATACTGTACCTCTGCCTTCAGCCTGCAGGGAGCACTGCAGCTCAGACAAGACTTTGGAGTGGTCAGGGAGTTGCTGGAAGAGGAGCAGTGGAGTCTGACTCCTGATCTCCGCCAGACGCTGCTTATGCTCAGCATCTTCCAGCAGCTGGATGGAGCCCTGCTGTGTCTGTTGCAGCAGCCCCTGCCCAAGTCTCAAGTCCACAGGAGGCCCCCCTGTTGCTGTGAGTCACTCCCCTTTGCTCACCACTTGGTGTGTCCCAAACCCCATTCTCACCATTGATCTGGCTTCAGTATATCCCCACCAGCCACCTGCCTTCTGCTTCTGCCTTACCAGGTGCTTGTCAGGAGGTCCAGACCACAGAATTGCCCAGCAGCTGCCTCAATAGCCTGGAGAGCTTGGAGCCCCCTCTCCAGCCTGGAACATCTCCAGCCCAGACAGCTCAGCTGCAAAGCACACTAGAGGGAGGGGGACCTAGCCCAGAGGGCTACCTAGTGGGAAATCAGCAGGCCTGGCTTGCCCTCAGGCAACACCAGCGACCCCGTTGGCACCTGCCATTTTTTTCCTGCCTACAAATTAGTCCTGAATCCTAAGGAGCCTGGGACCAGGAGCCAGAAAGTTAAGAGCTCCCCATCTCTAGCTGGAAAAATCCAGACATTTGGAATTACATATTAAGGAAGCCTAGAACTGGAAGCTTGGAGGAAAGCATACTGGAGAATAAGCTACAAAGACCCTGGGCTTAAGAATCCAAGATTAGGGGCTGGGCACGGTGGCTCACACCTGTAATCCTAGCACTTTGGGAGGCCAAGGCAGGCGGATCATGAGGTCAGGAGATCAAGACCATCCTGGCTAACACAGTGAAACCCAGTCTCCACTAAAAATACAAAAATGTAGCCGGGCGTGGTGGTGGGCGCCTGTAGTCCCAGCTACTCAGGAGGCTGAGGCAGGACAATGATGTGAACCTGGGAGATGGAGCTTGCAGTGAGCCAAGACTGAGCCACTGCACTCCAGCCTGGGTGACAGAGAGAGACTCTGTCTCAAAAAAAAAAAAAAAGAAAAAAAAAGAATCCAAGATTAGGCAGGGCATGGTGGCTCATGCCTGTAATCCCAGCACTTTTTAGGCAGGGCATGGTGGTCATGCCTGTAATCCCAGCACTTTGGGAGGCTGAGGCAGGTGGATCACCTGAGGTCAGGAATTTGAGACCAGCCTGACCAACATGGAGAAACCCCGTCTTTACTGAAAATACAAAATTAGCCAGGCATGGTGGCACATGCCTTAATCCCAGCTACTCAGGAGGCTGAGGCAGGAGAATCACTTGAACCTGGGAGGCAGAGGTTATGTGAGCTGAGATTGTGCCATTGCACTCCAGCCTGGGCAACAAGGGTGAAACTCTGTCTCAAAAAAAAAAAAAAAAAAAAAAAAGATCACTCCAGCACCTGGAATCCAGAGTAAAGAGCAAGACTGCAAGACCACAGCCTGGAACCTGAAGGTCAGCACCCTTGGGAGGTTCAGGCCTAGTTCTCCATCACTGAAGACATCTCAGGGATAAAGAGTTGACTGCTCAGCCGCGCGCCGTGGCTCACGCCTGTAATCCCAGCACTTTGGGAGGCCGATCACGAGGTCCGATCAAGACCATCCTGGCTAACACGGTGAAATCCCGCCTCTATTAAAAATACAAAAAATTAGCCGGGCGTGGTGGCACACGCCTGTAGTCCCAGCTACTCAGGAGGCTGAGGCAGGAGAATCGCTTGAACCCTGGAGGCAGAGATTGCAGTGAGCCGAGATCGCGCCATTGCATTCCAGCCTGGGCAACAAGAGCGAAACTTTGTCTCAAAAAAATGAAAAAGAAAGAAAAAGAAAACAAGCTAGAATGCACTTCAACTTAAGTCCTCGGAGCCAGGCTAATTCATGGGGAACTACAGAGGTGTAATAGGCATTTCTATACCTGGATCAGCCCCAAGGACTGTATTACCCTGTACTGCCCTTCCTATTACTATTTTCAGTCATTTACGAATATTAGGCTGTAGTATTTTCACGTTGAAGCTTTGGCTATTCAGAACTCACTGTGTTTAATCTTCAGTTACCTGAATGGTGTTTACCTTCTGGTGTGGATCATCCTGGCTTGTGTTAGTGCTCTCTCTTTGGAAGGAGCCAGGACTTCAGATCGAGTTAGCCTAGATCTGGCCTAGCAGGGTACAGAAGGGGAAAGGCTGCAGAAAACAGGCGTATATTCGTGCCAAAAGGTTTTTGGCGCCATTTATTTATGGTTTTCACCATCGTATGAGAGGACTATTAATGATAGGTTGTATTTGCTGACCACCTACTTTAGGCTCCCCCATGCATTGTGCCGAAACCACCTCTCTCCTTCCTGACTTCCTAAGCCTGGGCTCGGGAGCCCTGAGCTGCGGTTCGCAGGCCTACTTGCTTGCCGACGGCCGGAAGTCTCTATCCCGCAGAAGCGCAGCCATTCGCGGCCTAACGCAATGCGACACTTCCGCCTGCACGAGCTCTTCCGGGGTGGAGGTCACCATGGCAGCTGCCTTAGCCCGGCTTGGTCTGCGGCCTGTCAAGGAGGTTCGGGTTCAATTCTGCCCCTTCGAGAAAAACGTGGAATCGACGAGGTAGGAAGGGGAAGTGGGTAGAAGCGGGAAGTGGGTAGAAGCGGGAAGTGGTGCGCCTTCCTTCAGCTGGGGCTTTAAGCCCTCAGCCTGGCGCTCACTCTGTTTTTCCACCGTAGGACCTTCCTCCAGGCAGTGAGCAGCGAGAAGGTCCGGTCCACTAATCTCAACTGCTCAGTGATTGCGGACGTGAGGCACGACGGCTCCGAGCCCTGCGTGGACGTGCTGTTCGGTGGGCTTGGTGGAGAGACGGGCAGGAGGGGACAGCAAACAGCCCGCGCGCCCCTAAGCCCCAGCACTGCCGTCCCTCCCTATCTGACTCGTTTGTTTCTTCCCCAGGAGACGGGCATCGCCTGATTATGCGCGGCGCTCATCTCACCGCTGTGGAAATGCTCACTGCCTTCGCTTCCCATATCCGGGCCAGGGACGCGGCGGGCAGCGCGGACAAGCCGGGCGCTGATACTAGTCGCTGACAGCGTCAGAGAGACCAACAAGATGATTTTAGCGTGGACTAGGACACTTAACCTAAGAAGAGTTTCACTTAATCATTCAAATCACTATCTGGAGGGCCACGGAGCGCAAAATAAAATGTAAAACCCTGCTACTACAATGTTTCTGGAACAAGACTAGATCAGGGAGGTGTCTGGATGAACCTGGATTTATATCACTTTCTATCATCACTTACTGCTTAACCCTTTTGAATTTGGCTTCTGGCTTCTACCACTCACTCAAGGTACTTTTTTTTTTTTTTTTTTTTTTTTTTTTTTGAGACAGGTCTGTTTCTGTCACTCAGGCTGGAGTGCAGTGGCATAATCATAGTTCACTGTAACCTGGGCTTAGTCGAGCCTCTCAAGTAGCTGGGAAGCTGGGACTACAGGCACGCGCCACCAGGTTTAGTTAATTTTTAAGTTTTTTGTAGAGAAGGATTTTCGCTGTTTCCCAGGCTGGTCTTGAAGTTCTGGACTCAAGTGATCCTCCCACCTTGGCCTCCCAAAGTGTTGGGCGTGGGCCACTGTGCCCAGTCCTCTTACTTTTACCAAATCCAGTGTGAAAGAACACTGATAGGCTGAGCGCGGTGGCTCACATCTGTAATCGCAGCACTTTAGGAGGCTGAGGCCAGCAGATCACCTGCTTGGAGAAATCCCACCTCTACTAGAAAATACAAAAAAATTATCTGGGTGTGGTGGCACAAGCCTGTAATCCCAGCTACTCCGGAGGCCGAGCGAGGCAAGAGAATCGCTCAAATCCAGGAGGTGGAGGTTGAAGTGAGCTGAGGTCACACCACGCACTCCAGCCTGGACAACAGAGTGAGACTGTCTCAGAACACACACACACACACACACACGCACACACACACTGACAGAGTGTTGTTTTTTCAGCTCTCGTCTTTCTATCCCGGTTCCATCCGTCACTTGTTTTTGGGGGGGGGGGGGGTTGTCCTGTTCCATGGGCTGGTCTCTAGCTCTTGGACACAAGTGACCCTCCTGCCTTGGCTTCCCAAAGCCCTGGGATTACAGGCATGTGCCACCAATGCCTGGCCACATCTACAACTCTTTTGTTTGTTTTTGAGACAGTCTCACTGTAACCCAGGCTGGAGTGCAGTGGTGTGACCTTGTCTCACTGCAGCCTCCGCCTTCCGGGTTCCAGTGATTCTCCTGTTTCAGCCTCCTGGGTGGCTGAGATTACAGGCATGTGCCACCACTCCTGGCTGATTTTTGTATTTTTAGTAGAGATGGGATTTTGCCATGTCAGCCAGGCTGGCCTCAAACTTCTGACCTCAGGTGATCTGCCCCCCTCAGCTTCCCAAAGTGCTGGGATTACAGGCATGAGCCACTGCGCTCGGCCTGCAACTCTTAATTCACGCATTTGTGGAACTTCTCTCCCTCTTGGTTCCTTTTTCTTTTGAACTACACAGGTGTTCTACCTTCATTCTTTTTCTCTATTTTTTTCTGGGGCATCTCATCCTCTTTCACAACTTGAATTACACCTTGTGGGGTTAAACTGTTTCTTTTGGTTCTAATCCCAACTTCTGTGCATAGTCAGGTTACCTGCTACCAGTTCCCTCCAAATCCCACAAACTATCTTTGTCTAAAATATAATTGATAATCTTACATACACATATACTTGTCTCTCTTCCCTGACTTATCCATTCCTTTTTAAAAACAGGCACTTCATCTACTCACCCACCTGGGCTGGAAACCACAGTGTTCTCTAGTTCTGCTCCTTTCCATCTCTGCGTATCTGGTCACTCAGTTCAGAATATTCTGTCTTTTAAAAGTGCCTGAAAGTCGGGCAAGGTGGCTCATACTTGTAGTCCCACCTACTCAGAAGGCTGAGACAGGAGGATCTTTTGAACCCAAGAATTCAAGGCTACAGTGAGCTATGGTTGCACCACTGTACTCTAGCCTGGTGACAGAGCAAGACACCGTCTCAAGAAAAAAAAAAAAAAACAAACTTCTGAAATGATCTCTCCATTCCCATTCACTCTATTCATTATTGCCTTCTGCTACCCAGTCTATTTCCTAAACATTTTTGCTGCCACTTAATTTTATCATTCCAAAGCATGCGATTGGTTTTATCTCTCAGTACTCCCTGTTTAAGAAAACAGTGCTGGCTGGGCGCAGTGGCTCACTCCTGTAATCCCAGCACTCTGGGAGACCAAGGTGGGTGGATCATGAGGCCAGGAGTTCAAGACCAGCCCGCCCAACATGGTGAAATCTCATCTCTATTAAAAATACAAAAATTAGCCAGGCGTGGTGGTGGGTGCCTGTAATGCCAGCTACTCAGGAGGCTGAGGCAGGAGAATCGCTTGAACCCAAGAAGTGGAGGTTACAGTGAGCCGATATTGCACCACTGCACTCCAGCCTGGGCGACAGAGCAAGACTCCATCTCAAAAAAAAAGAAAAAAGTTCCTAAAGTGTTTTTCATACTTCCTCAACACTCATTAGTGTGGACCATGCAATCAATTTAGGGAGTTCAACCATTCTTTTTTTTTTTTGGAGACAGGGTTTCACTCTTGTTTCCCAGGCTGGAGTGCAATGGCACAATCTCACTGCAACCTCCACATCCCAGGTTCAAGCAATTCTCCTGCCTCAACCTTGCAAGTAGCTGGGATAACAGGCATGCACCACCGTGCCTAATTTTATATTTTTAGTAGAGACGGGGTTTCTCCATATTGGTCAGGCTGGTCTCAAACTCCCGGCCTCAGGTGATCTGCCCACCTCGGCCTCCCAAAATGCTGGTATTACAGGCATGAGCCACCGCACCCAGCCTAAACCATTCTTAAAAAAAAAAAAAATAGGCTGGGTGCGGTGGCTCATGCCTGTAATCCCAGCACTTTGGGAGGCCTTGGCAGGCAGATTGCCTGAGGTTGGGAGTTAGAGACCAGCCTGGCCAATATGATGAAACCCTGTCTCTACTAAAAAGACAAAAAAATTAGCTGGGTATGGTGGCAGGCACCTGTAATCCCACCTACTCAGGAGGCTGAGACAGGAGAATTGCTTGAACCCAGGAGGTGGAGGCTGCGGTGAGCCAAGATCACGCCACTGCACTCCAGCTCAGGTGATGGAGTGAGACTCTGTCAAAAAAAAAGAATAGAATAAAAATTTTCAGACTGAGGCTGAGTTCAGTGGCTCATGCCTGTAATCCCATCACTTTGAGAGGCCGAGGTGGGCAAAATCACCTGAGGTCAGGAGTTCGAGACCAGCCTGACCAATATGGTGAAACCCCATCTGTACTAAAAATACAAAAAATTAGCCAGGTGTGGTGGTTGGCACCTGTAATCCCAGCCACTTGGGAGGCTGAGGCAGGAGAATTGCTTGAACCCGGGAGGTGGAGGTTGCAGTGAGCTGATGGCACCACTGCACTCTAGCCTGGTTGACAAGAGCAAGGCTCCATCTCAAAAAAAAAAAAAAAAAAAAATCACACTGCATGGCACTTAGAATAGAAAGTTTAAATAGATTAAGTCATGCTTTGTCACCCAGGCTGGAGTGCAGTGGCACAATTGTAGCTCACTGCAGCCTCCATCTCCTAGGCTCAAGCAGTTCTCCCACCTCAGCCTCTCAAGTAGCTGGGATTGTTCTCCCACCTCAGCCTCCCAAGTAGCTGGGATTACAGGCGTGAGCCACCATGCCTGGCTTAATTTTTTTTTTTTTTTTTTTTTGAGATGGAGTCTTGCTCTGTTGCCCAGGCTGGAGTGCACTGGAGCACAATCTTGGCTCACTGCAACCTCCATCTCCTGGGTTCAAGCGATTTCCAGCAAATTTTTGTATTTTCAGTAGAGACGGAGTTTCACCATGTTGGCCAGGCTGGTCAGGAACTCCTGATCTCAAGTAATCCACTGGTCTTGGCCTCCCAAATTTTTTTTTTTTTTTTTTTTTTTTTTTTTTTTGAGACGGAGTCTTGCTCTGTCACCCCAGGCTGGAGTGCGATGGTGCCATCTCGGCTGACTGCAACCTCTGCCTCCCAGGTTCAAGCGATTATCCTGCCTCAGCCTCCCAAGTAGGTGGGATTACAGGTGCGCACCACCATGCCCGTCTATTTTTTGTGTTTTTAGTAGAGGCAGGGTTTCACCATGTTTGCCAGTCTGGTCTCGAACTCCTGACCTCAGGTGATCCACCCGCCTCAGCCTTCCAAGGTGCTGGGATTACAGGCGTGAGCCACCACACCTGGCCAACCCTAATTTTTAATTTTTTTGTAGATGGGGGGGTCTCCTCATCTTGTCCAGGCTGGTCTAGAACCCCTGAACTCAAGCGATTCTCCTGCCTTAGCGTCCTAAAGTGCTGGGATTACAGACGTGAGCCACCACACCCAGTTGGAAGTATTCTTTTAGGAAACTCGTTTTAAGTCTGTAATCCTGTATGTAAGTTGTGTGTGCATGTGTATCTGCACATAGTGGGTTGCACTATGGAATTATTTCTTATTGTGGGTTGTAGGAAAATGGTTGAAAGCCACTGCTTTAGACACCTTCACAATGCTCAGCTAGGTAACAAAAGATCTGTAATGAGTGGCCTGCTGTATACTTTGCCAGATACATTTCCCACGACCCTCCTACAGCAGCATTACTATACCTTTTCCCTGTCTAAAAGGGTGCTATCTTCAAAGGACTGTTTTTCCCCTCCCCCTTTAAAAAAGAAAGCTAGGAGGAGGCAGCATACTGTTATAATGAGCCAGACTGCTTGGGGTTGAGATCCTAGCTTTGTTCTTACGTAGCTGTATGACTTTAGACAAATTATTTAATCTCTCAGTGCCTATTGCATTTGTGAAATGAAAATAATAGTACTTTCCTCATTGGACTGTTGAGGAGATTAAATGAATTAATATCTCTAAAGTGCCTAAAACATTGCTGGGAGCATATCTAAGAGGCCTTATTTATTCTTTTTTTTTTTTTTTTTTTTTTTAAGACAGAGTTTCGCTCTTGTCACCCAGGCTGGATTGCAATGGCGCGATCTCGGCTTACTGAAACCTCTGCCTCCTGGGTTCAAGTGATCGTCCTGCCTCAGCCTCACGAGTAGCTGGGATTACAGGCATGCACCACCATGCCCAGCTAATTCTGTATTTTTAGTAGAGACGGGGTTTCTCCATGTTGGTCAGGCTGGTCTCGAACTCTCGACCTCAGGTGATCTGCCCGCCTTGACCTCCCAAAGCGCTGGGATTACAGGCGTGAGCCACTGCACCCGGCCTAAGAGGCCTTATTCTAAAGTCAAAAGAACAACCTGGATTTGAGTTCCCCAGCTCCAAAATTAACTGTCTGTTATTTTGGGTCAATCTTAACTACTCTCCTCATCTGTAAAAATGGGGGTGGTCTGGCCAGGTGTGTTGGCTCACACCTGTAATCCCAGCACTTTGGGAGGCTGAGGTGGTTGGATCACCTGAGGTCAGGAGTTCGAGACCAGCCTGGCAAACCTGGTGAAACTCCATCTCTACTAAAAATACAAAAATTAGCTGGGCATGGTGGTGGGTGCCTGTAATCCCAGCTACTCGGGAGGCTGAGGCAGGAGAATCACTTGAACTCTGGAGGCAGAGGTTGCAGTGAACCAAGATCACGCCATTGCACTCCAGCCTGGGTGACAGAGTGGGACTCTGTCTCAAAAAAAAAAAAAAAAAAAAAAAAATCAAATTAAAAAAAATGGGGATGGTTGCACATGCACTGAGTGCTGGCATTGTACTTCAAGATTGTGAACTTGAGGTTGGGGCCATTTTCTCTGAGTCCCCAGCACCTTGCATAATGCAATATAGGGTATACAATAAACATTTGTTGAATTTATAAATATTTAGCATCTACCTTATGCCTATAATTGATTAGTACTGTGATACAAAGATGAATAATGAAACAGGTATGTAATAAGTGCTACAATAAGGATGTAGACAAATGCAATGGTAGCAAGAAAGACAAAAACAGGACTGACCACTGGGTTTGGTCAGATGATTGTTTAATAAGCAAAAAGTCTACCACCAGTGGAGAGTGGGGCCAGAAGTCAGATTATAGTGAAATATAAGTGGTCGTGTTGCATAAAGCATCAGTATTTTCTTTCCTCCTTTCCTTCCTTCTTTCTTTCTTTCCTTTCTTTTTTTGAGACAGAGTTTCACTCTTGTTGCCCAGGCTGGAGTGCAATGGCCCGATCTTGGCTCACTGCAACCTCCGCCTCCCGGATTCAAGCAATTCTCCTGCCTCAGCCTCCCGAGTAGCTGGGATTACAGGCACCCAACACCACACCCGGCTAATTTTTGTATTTTTAGTAGAGATAGGGTTTTACCAAGTGGACCAGGCTGGTCTCGAACTGATGTCAGGTGATCCACCTACTTTGGCCTCCCAAAGTGCTGGGATTACAGATGTTAGCCTCCAAGCCTGGCCACATCAGTGTTTTGTTTTGTTTTTTTTGAGACGAAGTCTCGCTCTGTCGCCCAGGTTGGACTGCAATGGCACAATCTCGGCTCACTGTAACCTCCGCCTCCCGGGTTCAAACGATTCTCATGCCTCAGCCCAACGCTAGATTGGTTTTTCCGAGCCTGTGAACTCCATGGAGTTGCCAAATAAGCGCAGTCCCGGTGGACCAACGCCCAGGACGGATGCTGTAGGCGAACCCTATGCTAAGCCGCAGGCAGCGGTTCCGGACTCTGGGACTTAACCTAATGTGGCGGGGCGGGACTTCCGGCGGGAGGCTGACGCGGCGGCGGAGGCGCAGGCGCGGGCTGGCAGGTGTCGCTGACCGGACGGTGGTCGCTGGGGCGAGAAGCTGGAGCCGGAGAGGCGAGGCAGGACCCCGGCTCCACTGCCGCCTCTCCGAGCTCTCGCGACGCGGACCTCTGCCAGGATGGCTCGGGGCGAGCGGCGGCGCCGCGCAGTGCCGGCAGAGGGAGTGCGGACCGTCGAGAGGGCGGCTCGGGGAGGCCCCGGGCGACGGGACGGCCGGGGCGGCGGGCCGCGTAGCACGGCTGGAGGAGTGGCTCTGGCCGTCGTGGTCCTGTCTTTGGCCCTGGGCATGTCGGGGCGCTGGGTGCTGGCGTGGCACCGTGCGCGGCGGGCGGTCACGCTGCACTCCGCGCCTCCTGTGTTGCCTGCCGACTCCTCCAGCCCCGCCGTGGCCCCGGACCTCTTCTGGGGAACCTACCGCCCTCACGTCTACTTCGGCATGAAGACCCGCAGCCCGAAGCCACTCCTCACCGGTAACCGGGCCCCAGGGCGGGCAGGCAGGCGGACTCCTAATCTGGGCGCCCCAGCTTGAAGCCAGATCAAGGGTGGGGAGGAATGGATCAGGAGAGTTATGAAGAGGGATGACCCAGAGACCCGGAGGGACAGGTCCCCTGCTCGTTGACTTACGTGGCCATTCTACCCCCAGGACTGATGTGGGCGCAGCAGGGCACCACCCCGGGGACTCCTAAGCTCAGGCACACGTGTGAGCAGGGGGACGGTGTGGGTCCCTATGGCTGGGAGTTCCACGACGGCCTCTCCTTCGGGCGGCAGCACATCCAGGATGGGGCCTTAAAGCTCACCACTGAGTTCGTCAAGAGGCCTGGGGGTCAGCACGGAGGGGACTGGAGCTGGAGAGTGACTGTAGAGCCTCAGGTCAGGGCCTCAGGACACCCTTTTCTCAGCCCAGACCCCCTCTATCCTTCCCTTGCTGCCAGCAAATGCAGCATGAAGTGGGCTCTGGCTGCCTGGCTTAAATCCTGCCTTAAACAGCTGCCTCTATGAGCATCTCTAAGCCTTGATTTCCTTGCTTGTAAAATGTAAAATGTAGATAATAATAGCACCTAACTCACAGGACTGTAAGAATTAAATGAAAAAGAGGCTGGGCGCGGTGGCTCACGCCTGTAATCCCAGTACTCTGGGAGGCTGAGGCTGTCAGATCACCTGAGGTCGGGAGTTCCAGACCAGCTTGGCCAACATGGAGAAACCCCGTCTCTACTAAAAATACAAAATTAGCCGGGCATGGTGGCGCATGCCTGTAATCCAAGCTACTCAGGAGGCTGAGGCAGGAGAATTGCTTGAACCCGGGAGGTGGAGGTTGCACTGAGCCAAGATCGTGCCATTGCACTCCAGCCTGGGCAACAAGAGCAAAACTGTGTCTCAAAAAAAAAAAAAAAAAAAAAGAATTAAATGAAATAAACTGTGTAGAGTTCTTAGTGTAGGACATAGTACAAAAGTATACTGTTATCTTCCAGGGCACCCAGTGCAAGGCTCTTTATCTCATCCCACTTGGGTGTACCTGGTTACCCTCAGTGACCCCTCAGTACTGCCAGATGTATGTTGTTTACATTACCCCTGCCTACTGTTCCTTTCCCTCACTAAGGCTGATTCTCAAGAGAGAATGCCAGTCTAACACTGTTCTTTTCTGTACTCCTTGGTCCCTTAGGCCTCAGGTACCTCTGCCATCCCTTTGGTCTCCCTGTTCTTCTATGTGGTGACAGATAGCAATGAAGTCCTAATACCGGAGGTTGGGTCCAAGGGGCAGTTGAAGTTCATCAGTGGGCACACCAGTGAACTTGGTGACTTCCGTTTTACACTTCTGCCACCAACTAGTCCAGGGGATACAGCCCCCAAGTATGGCAGGTAATTGGGGGAAGAGAATGTTCAGGGATGGAAGGGGTGGTTATTCCCATTTTCACCAGTCTCCATGTCCCCTGCGTGAGACCTTCCAACCTGACTCCTGAACATTTCGTATTTCTCTTTATAATGCCCACTGCCTTCTCTTGAATAATATTTCCTATTTATCTTCTCCCCTTCAAGCTACAATGTCTTCTGGACCTCCAACCCAGGACTGCCCCTGCTGACAGAGATGGTAAAGAGTCGCCTAAATAGCTGGTTTCAGCATCGGCCCCCAGGGGCCTCCCCTGAACGCTACCTCGGCTTGGCAGGATCTCTGAAGTGGGAGGACAGAGGCCCAAGTGGGCAAGGGCAGGGGCAGTTCTTGATACAGCAGGTGACCCTGAAAGTTCCCTTTTCCATAGAGTTTGTGTTTGAATCGGGCAGTGCCCAGGCAGGAGGAAATCAAGTCCTACCAAGACTGGCAGGCAGTCTACTGACCCATGCCCTGGAGAGCCATGCTGAGGCCTTTAGAGAGCGCTTTGAGAAGACCTTCCAGCTGAAGGAGAAGGGCCTGAGCCCTGGCGAGCAGGCTTTGGGTCAGGCTGCCCTCAGCAGCCTCCTTGGTGGAATTGGCTACTTCTACGGACAAGGACTGGTACTGCCAGACATGGGGGTGGAAGGGTCTGAGCAGAAGGTGGACCCAGCCCTCTTTCCACCCCTACCTCTTTTTACAGCAGTGCCTTCCCGGTCATTCTTCCCACGAGGCTTCCTTTGGGATGAGGGCTTTCACCAGCTGGTGGTTCAGCGGTGGGATCCCTCCCTCACCCGGGAAGCCCTGGGCCACTGGCTGGGGCTGCTAAATGCTGATGGCTGGATTGGGAGGGAGCAGATACTGGGGGATGAGGCCCGAGCCCGGGTACCTCCAGAATTCCTAGTGCAACGAGCAGTCCATGCCAACCCCCCAACCCTACTTTTGCCTGTAGCCCATATGCTAGAGGTTGGTGACCCTGACGACTTGGCCTTCCTCCGAAAGGCCTTCCCCCGCCTGCATGCCTGGTTCTCCTGGCTCCATCAGAGCCAGGCAGGCCCAGTTCCACTATCTTACCGCTGGCGGGGACGGGACCCTGCTTTACCAACCTTACTGAACCCCAAGACCCTACCCTCTGGGCTGGATGACTACCCCCGGGCTTCACACCCTTCAGTCACTGAACGGCACCTGGACCTGCGATGTTGGGTGGCACTGGGTGCCCGTGTGCTGACGCAGCTGGCAGAGTATCTGGGCGAGGCTGAGGTAGCTGCTGAGCTGGGCCCACTGGCTGCCTCACTGGAGGCAGCAGAGAGCCTGGATGAGCTGCACTGGGCCCCAGAGCTAGGAGTCTTTGCAGACTTTGGGAACCACACAAAAGCAGTACAGCTGAAGCCCAGGCCCCCTCAGGGGCTGGTTCGGGTGGTGGGCCGGCCCCAACCTCGACTGCAGTATGTAGATGCCCTTGGCTATGTCAGTCTTTTTCCCTTGCTGCTGCGACTGCTGGACCCCAACTCATCCCGCCTTGGGTCCCTGCTGGATATTCTAGCTGACAGCCGCCATCTCTGGAGCCCCTTTGGTTTACGCTCCCTTGCAGCCTCCAGCTCCTTTTATGGCCAGCGCAATTCAGAGCATGATCCCCCCTACTGGCGGGGTGCTGTGTGGCTCAATGTCAACTACCTGGCTTTGGGAGCACTCCACCACTATGGGCATCTGGAGGGTCCTCACCAGGCTCGGGCTGCCAAACTCCACAGTGAGCTCCGTGCCAATGTGGTAGGCAATGTATGGCGCCAGTACCAGGCTACAGGCTTTCTCTGGGAGCAGTATAGTGACCGAGATGGGCGAGGCATGGGCTGCCGCCCTTTCCACGGCTGGACCAGCCTTGTCTTACTGGCCATGGCTGAAGACTACTGAAGGGAGGGAGAGGAGGGGAGCCAGGCCACTCATGCCACTCTGGCTCTAGAGGGACAAAGGCTTCTGGCTTCTGCCCCCAGTCCCTTGGATACCAGTAATTCAAACCTTCCTCATTTCATCTCAGGTGTCTCCTTACTGTCATCCCACATAGCCCTGGGATGAATGTGAATTCAGAGTCTATTTTTCTAAATAAATTGGAAAAAACATTTTGAACTCTATTGCTTTTGCCATATTTGCCTCACCAAGAGGCCTTAGGTCAGTCCAGGCCTCAGGATTGTCTGCTGTCCTCAGGGAAGGTGGGGTCAAGTGGCCATAACCTGTCCCCTTCAAACCCAGTCAGGTCAAGTGCAATGCAGTGAGTTGAGCTTTAGTCCACCCAAATCCACAAGTGGCTGGTTCAAATCTCTTTAATGAGATCAAAGGCTCCTGTGTATACGTCTTGATGTCTTGCGGGGGTAAAGCTAGCACAATCCCCCAAATACTGCCCCTCTCCTCAGGGCTCCAGCCCTTTCGGGCAGATTCTAGGTAGGCAGGAAGGGGCCAAAGGGAACGCAAGGAGGTGGGACTAGGGCTGTTTCTGGTGGGCAAGTAACCCGCCCTCTCAAAACTTACGGGATGTCCCCTTCACTGGAGGACAGCCCCATGGGAGAGACCTGCGGTACAGAATCTGGGGGCAGTGCACAAGGGGAATAGTCCTCCAGATCTGGCAGGGTGGCACTAGCCCTCACCTCCTTGACTGGCTCACCCTCACCGGAGGCAGGACAAGGGCAGAGCTCAATACCGGAGTCACCAGTTAAACGGCGATAGCGACAGGAGGGGGCTGTGGGGGCAGGGCTCACCCCTGCCCCAGGCTCACCCTCCTGATGAGGGGGGGCACTCTGGTGAGAGGAAACACCTTCCACATTTGTTCCTTCGAAGTGGGCAGGGCAGCTGGATGAGGAGGAACACCAGGTTTGTTCGCTGGAAGCAGTCAAGGGGAGGCCTGGGGCCACAGTATAAGCGGGGGGTGGTGTGCCTGGGCGGTGAACCACGTCCTCGTAGGCTGGGGGCTTGAAGGTGCTGAGGAGGCCTGCAGGGGAGAAAATTGGCATAATTCGTTGAAGGCAACCAGGTATAGGGTGCTAGTTTTTATATTAGGGAAAAATACTTTGAAATGTGTAGAAAAAGGAATGTCAGATGATTTGGGGTCCTGGTTTGGGGAGGGCCACTGGTAGTTGACCCAGAGCATCAAGTCACTCACGAAGGTCAAGCAGTGAACCGGTAGGGAAAGGACCAGCCCCATGGCATGCCCCATGGTAGGCCAACAAGTTGATTTCACGCTGCCGCTGCTGCTGTTGCAGCCGGAGTTTAGCTCGTCGGTGGCGGAAGGCGCAACAGCAGCTAAAGAGGATGAGGACAGTCCAGAGCAGCCAGAACCCTGCAAGAGGCAAGGAGGGAGCAACTCAGGCATCTTTCGTGCAGAGAAGGGGCCCTGAAGGCTGAAATTCTGAGGTCCATGGGAGGGTGGGCACAGGGACCTGGAAACAGCCCTCTTGGAGACTTACACCAGAGCTCATAGTAGTAGGTGCAGCAGCCAGTCTCCCCACAGCAGTGACCACTCTCACAGAGGTAGGGCTGGTTGTTCACTCCTGGGCACAGCTCTCGAAGCTGGGGGCAAGGAGGCACTTAGAACTAAGGGGGATTCCAGCGCAGGGCACTGTCCACCCCCACCTCCTGCATGCACATACACAATCCCACCCTGTGAACCAAGTTCAGCTTGGAGAGATGGGGGAAGTGGAGGATGCTGAGAGGAGTGTTGAAATATCTGAAGGGCTGTCAACGTGGAAGAGGATTTGGAATAGCAAGAATCAGTCTAGAGAACAAGACAAAAGTGTGGACATACAAAGAGGGAGAGTTCAGGTCTGCATATATGACACTTCCTTCACACTCAAGCCTCACCCTCCCCAACCCCCCTACCCCCATCCCCCCCGGTGCTTTCTGTTAAGGGAGTGTTTTGGCAGAAGCCAGAAGACAGTCTGAGATAATCTCAGTCTCAGACAACGGGTAGGGGAAGGTCATTTCCAAAGCAAGTTGCTTTCATTATCCTGCGCGGTTCACTACCCCCACCCCCAACTGGATCTTTCCACCCCTGGGCCTCAGGCTCCCTAGGACAGAGGAGGGGCAGTGTGAGACCCAGAGCAGTGCTCCCAACCAGATGGGAAGCTGTGGAGGATAAAGGATGGCATCCAGGGCGCGAGTCTGGGTTCCAGCTCTTCTCCAAATTGCTCCCTCAAGAGAAGACGCTGCCGGACTCTGTTGTGACAACAGGCACATAGAAAAAGATCACAAATAACTGTTGCAAGACAGAGGGAGCCTCCCTGGGGCCTGCCTCACTATGCCTCTGGTCACTGGAGAGCCACCGCAAGCTTCCACTGCAGCCATGGGATGGGGTCTATGAGGCTACAGGAAAAGTCAGCTGCATCTACGTTACAAAGTTTAGATAAAGAGTGGGACATGTTTAGGAACTTCACAGTACCTTTGGCTCCGTGAGTTCCTCCCCCACCCCCAAACGGAAGGGACAAGGAAAGGGAAAAGAGACAAATGGCTGTCGTGATAGGCTTTGGAGCTGTTGGGATACCTGCTGTTGCGATGCCCGAAGTGCCCCCCAGGCCTCCTCGCTGCCGTTCCCGCTGCTGGCCCGAGCCATGCCTCCACCTACAGCCCCCTGAGGACCACAGCCTCCTCTACCGCCAGCCGCCCCGCCCCTGCCACCTCTGCTGCCACCGCCATGGTCCCTGCCCGGCCCATCTTCGCTGCCGCCACCATCACTACGCGGCCTGAGCTTCCATCCGGGGAGAACTCCACCAACTAGGACTCAGATTGCTCTGCCCTACCAATCAGCATCGTCCCTTGACGGACAGGCCAATAGGAACAGATAAGAGGTTTCTCCCTGTGACCAATCCACAGCAGCGCCTTCGCCGCTCTCCCAGACAACAAGAGCTTGTACAGACAAAGAGTAGGGGAAGGTTCGACCCACGGCCCTGACTGACAGCGGCAATAGCCAATACAGACAGCAGAACAGGCTCTGGCATATCAACCAACGAACAGCCGCCCCGAAGACCAAGGTTACCGCTAATTGGCTTGCGCCATGTTTTCGGAATGACGCCAAATGCCGGCGACCGCCAGGTAATCCCGCCTGTAAGAGGCGGGGTCCCAAAGTCGGTCCGACTGTGGCCGCAAACCAGCCCAGTTTCTTGCGGTGCTTTCCAAGCCCCAGGCATCGACGCAAGCTCCGACAGGGGCAAAATATGTGTATACCGGAGACTGGTCTGCCCACAACATCCCACTCCCCCAGTTCTGTACAAGCCAAAGCACCGGATGAAATTTAATAGGGTGGGGAAGACACTCAAGAGCGGGCATGGGACAGGGCGCAGAGTCCAGGTTAGGTAAGGGCCTTACGTAGCCAAAAGGGGGGATCCAGGGCCCTCGGGTCCCCCCAGCCGCATCTGCAGGTTGATGCGGTAGCACTGAAGACTGCAGAGTGCCTGGCCGGTGCGAGAGCAAGCGTAGCGGCGCGGATGGGGACAGCCGGGGACAGAGCAGCGCGGAGGCGGGCCTAACGGGGATGGCCGCTGAGACACCGCCGTGGGGGCGGGGACGCCAGGTGGGAAGGAAAGGGTGGAACCCTGTGCTCCGCTGCAGTAGCGCACCATGGGGGCCGGAGCCGCAGCCCGCCCTCCCCGCCGCTCGCCCCGTGCGGCTCCCCGGCCTCCCCGCCCACTGGTCGCCGCAGTCTTGGTGAGGCGCTCGATAGTCTGGTTCTTGTGCTCTTCCGCACGCCGCGCCGCCTGGAGCCGCCGCTTACGCGCCCGCTCCTCGCGCTTCAGCAGCATCTCCTCTGTGAGGGCAGGAGCTGGACAGCCCTCAGCCACAGGCAGCGGCAGCATCGGGGAAGGCTGACTCCGCGCCTTCTGGAGCAGAGCTCGCTAGGGAGAGATAGAGACGGGGTGCTGTCTGAAAATGGAGGAGGATGGAGAGGCGAGGTCGGTCTGATCGGGGGAGGGGAAAGCAGGGACGTGGAAGGCAGGGTCTTGAGCAGCGCAGGCCTTGGGAGACGGGATATTAATTAATAAGCACCCTCTCCAGGACACCTTCCATAGGTTCCTCTTCATAAATACTGCCTCATCCCAGATCTCCTGACATTCAGCTTTAGGTCCTTAACTCTCAAGGGGAGAAGCATCAATGGTGCCTGCCTGACCTGTGCACCAAAACTGTACCAGCTTTCCCAGAGGTCTGTTGTTTTTAATCTTATCTCAGTAGAGAGTATCAGTTGGATAACTGCTGAAGCCAAAATCCCAGGCTTAGCCTTGATATATTTTCTCTCCATTCCCCTCCCCACAAGTATCTACTTCCAAAATATAGCCATATTTCATATGATTTTCTCCATCTCCACCACTTTGGTCTTGGTTAAAGCAACCACTGCCTCTCGGCTGATTACTTCAACAGCTTCCTAGTTGGTCTCCATACTTCTATCTCTTGTTTCCACGGAGATTCATTCTCTACAAGGATGCCAGAGTAATCTATTGAAATGTAAACCAAGTATGTCACTTCTCTGCGTACAGCCCTTCAGTGGCTTGTGCAGTTTTTCTTCTCCTTTACTCTGCTAGACATGTTCCAGTCTCAAGGTCTGTGCGCCTGTTGGTCTCTGCTGGAAAAGCTCCTCTGGCATTGCAAATGTTATCTCTTCAGAGAAGCCTTCTCTAACTACACTAATGTCTCTCTTCTGTCATTTTCTATTTGTTTGTTTATGCCATTTCTATTTCATCACCCTATTCTTTGTCATAAACCATATAGCTTTTTGAAATTATTTATTTACTTATTTACTTCCCAGCCCCCCAACACACACACTAGAATACTAGCTCCAGGAGAACAGAAACTTTGTCTGTCTTTTCTCCACTATTGATATCCCCACTGCCACGCAAAGTGCTTAGGTCGTGGAGAGTTCTCAATACTGTATACTTTGGTGAGTGAATAAACAATGACCAACATACCTGTCGAGCAGTAAGCAGCCGCTCATTGATCTCCTTCTTGAGGTCTCCATTATCATCCAGCTCCCCCTTCTCCAGGGCATCCAGCCACCTCTGTTCCTCCTCTTCCTCTTGACCCCCTAACCCTCCTGATAGGTCCCGAAGTGGAGAGGGAGAGAGATTACTGTCTTCATCTGGGAAGGAAGTTGGAG